GCATTTGTCCGCGTACTCGCGGAGCTGCCCAGGCGTAATCGGGCGTGTCCCGTCGAGCTTGGGCCATGCGGGCGTGTCTGAGTCTGACCCCGACGCGTGTGGCGCATGTTGCATGGGCACGGCAGTCGCCGAGCGGTCGTCGTCGGGCGGCGTGGCGATGGTAGGCAATTGCTCGGTGGTGGACGCGGGCGAAAGGTTGAGATACGAGTAGGCCGACGCGGATGGTGAGGTCGGCTCGGGCTTGTCGACGAGGTCCTCGAAGGGGTCGAAGATGAAGGGGACAATGGGGGGCGGCCACGCGACAGTCGGGCCTTCAATGTGCTGGATCCACGAGAGCTGCGACAGCATTCTGTGTGACTCCGTCGGCTCAAGGGCCTCCTCGTCCTCGTACCCACCCAACGCCGTTTTGAAGACGCCGTACGCGTCGTCGACGACATCGATAGCGGGGCGAGGGATGGGGAGGAGGGTGGGCTCGAACATCTTCGCGTCGATCCAGGCAGGACGCGCACGACGGGGCTTAGGTTGATAGAGAACGGGTTCAGGCGTAGGCGCCACTTCCGCCTGGTTGGTTATTATGCGTTCTTTCCGTGAGAACGACTAATAACCAATCTTCTTTAGATGCAATTATCGACAAGGCGTCGCAAAGAGATCATACCTCATTCATCGCGTCGTTTGAGGTCTCCGCAACGTATATCGCGTCCATCAAAGCGTCGAAGTCATCGTTGTCGGCGACGACGGACGATGTGGCGTTGTTGTCACGTATGGCTGTGGAGGGCGCGTCGGCCGCAGGAGATGTGCTCAGGGCGAAGGCTTCCAAAGAAGTCAAAAGATTCTTGAAGCAGGAGTACATTGTTGCAATTGTTTCCGGGCGATGGTGGGCGATGGTGGTCAAGGTGCGAATTGGGGGGGATGTGGTTGAAGTCGGACTTATATGTTCTCACGGCATGTGCCGAAGACCATAATCGCGCGGTTCGAAATGCTGCTAGGCCCGCTGCCTGCACCGCAAGGCGAGACTACCGAGCGTACAGGGCTACTTTGGAATGATAAGGATACAGAACGATCCAAAGAAAAAATCAAAAAGAAAATATTGCGGTGTGGCGTCTCCCCCCGCCGGACACTCGCACCACTCGTACAAGGTATGAGCCCTCATCCCTCAATATTTGGCAGGTAACAATACCGCAACGAGCGTTCAGCAACCCCGCACCATACTCTTTCTTCCGGAGGGCAGTTCTTACCCGTCGATGCCCTCTAGTAAATCCTGTCCGTGTTGTGTTCCGAGGGGTGAATCTAGCAGGGACCAGGCTGGCTAGTGTGCTCCATGTAGTGCCTCATCAGTCTCCACGATGGCGGAGGTGTCGAGCTGTTCCCTGGGATCCTCGACCTCTCGGTGGCCTCGTTGATGAACCCCAGAGTGAAGTCTCGGAGCGTCAGGCGTCATGGGGCGAGTGGTTCCGACCGACGTCGCCCTTAGTCCTGTGAACCACGTATGAGTTTCCGCTGCCCACAACGGTGGAAGCGCCGTCGTCATCAGTCGGTGTGGTGGGGAGGAAGTCGTCAGACGTAGTAGGCGAGGTATTGGACGTTCCGACTTCGAGGCTGCTCGTAATTTGAGGTCTTGCTTTCATCTCTCGGATCGCAGGATGGACGACGGTTGCAACTAAATCTTCTTCTCCGTCGGGGAGATTCGTGAGCTCGGTTAGCATGCTCCTCTTCTCCTCCTGTGTGGTTTCTTCGTACAGTGCAGCCTCGCGGCACTCGAAGGCAGGCAATGCCTCAGAGACGCTGTCAATACGCGGGATGGCAGCTCCCAAGCAATTGCTGTTGTAGGAAGTGAGCTAATGTGGTGTTGTGTTTCACAAGCCTAAGTTCCTGTGATGGATGTGAGGATTAGCTCTTGGACGCTGCGGATCTTCATCGGGGTCAGTTATACGTTTCGCTGCCTCGGGGTGCAACGTATGACGGATTCTTATCAGCCATGAAATCAAAGCCAAATCATAATCAGAGAGTGAGCCTCCGTCAGGTTGTCACCTCCTGCATTAATCGGGGACGACATGGCCTGTGGACTACTGAGGCAAGTAGCCTCAACCTTCGTGAAGAGGATGTCGATGACTGTCAGCATCGTGATAGAGTGCGTCAAAGATGAGCAGCGGACAGTTGTCAATTATAGCAGTCAAGTAAGATAGGGCCAGTCCATACACGACTACCTTGGTCACACCGTGACAATCACGTGTTTTGCCTATATATGGCAGGTCAGTGTAAGGAAATCGAGGAGATCATCGATAGAAATCACCACTGTCGAGCTTATTATAATCTCCATGGGTCGAGATCCTCAAATGTTTTTATAGGAACTATTTGTATGTACTGTATCTTTGATTCCTATAAAAAACATCTGTGGTTTTCTACCTGTGCCCAAAGTTATAAGACCGACTTCGTGCTTTCCCCGCCAAGTGTGACAAAAATAGTCACGTGATAGTAGTCGTACATGAGCTGGCCCTATCTTAGGACGATTGGTGATGAGCAGTGTTTACGCTGCTGCTTTTCGGCAAGGGCCGGCCCAAACGTATTTATTACCCTCTTACACCAGTTGTGATGGTGCACCTCGCCTTGAGCTCAGTACCCGCTAGGTCCCTTCCTCTAACTGGTACAGAAACTTTTGTCCTATGTGACTTCCGCTCTCATCATAATGCCATTCTTACCAGATCTCCTGCTGTGGTCACCGTACTGGGCATTTCCCCCGTGTTATCTCATTGCTCACTATGAAATGTGATAAATAGGGATGTCTTCCTATCACCAATATACTCGCCTTTTCGATCATACTGTACCGATACGGCCTTAGGCAACGTGCCGTGTCCCGAGAGGTCCGTCGCCGTTGCCTATTTTGAGATTTGTCCCGTGTCCCGGACACCTCGTTGCTTGGGGCCCCGGAGCCTAAATCCGCGCCAAATGGGGAAAAATGAACAAATTTATTCGCAGGTGCTCTGGAAACCCTCTCAAAGCTTCTTCTGAGTCTTCTCTCAGCAATTTGAGCCTCAGATCTATCTGAGGAATGTATCAACACTGCATTACCCTTACCTTAGTACGCGCAACTGCAGGTTGCGTTGCATGTGTCCCTTGTCCCGACGGAGACGTTGTTTGACCTGCCACATTCCCACGGTAAATTACATAAGCTGTTGCGTTGCCTAAGGTCGTATCGGCACCTAGACAGCCCAGGTCCCAGGCCTAATTAGGCTGGCTCATCTGACCTCCGGTCAAGCCTAACAAGGCTCAGAATTGCTCGCTGAGTGACACCAGCGGTGGTACCGGGGCTCGCAGCTGTCTTAGTACAACTAGTATACTATGTATTAGTACTATAATATAGAGTCTTGCTTGAAGCCCCCGCCCTCCCTGACATCAGCAAATTTTCCCATAACTGGTATCTGAATACCATTAGCATATAATCAATTAAAATAAGTACCGGTATTACAATATGTATCAGACTTGTGGACGGCCGGGCCAGCCATTATATTCGGATGGCACATGTTGCAAGACTCCCACAAGAAGTACAATATGTACCAGACTTATACATATTACAAGCTCAGGCCAGCTTGCTTTGACCCATAATCAGACTATCAGCTGTCTTTTGCTTGATATTGCAGATCCCTGGAACGAAAAGGGGGCATTGGCCGATGAACACAATAAACAGTGTATAATTGCTCAGACTAGCTACTCGACAGGATTTGTTATGGCTAGACATTCAACACAGTACTAGCTGCTGACCCATACCCTCCACACAACCTCCTCAATGGAAAGCAAGCCATGTCACTACAATAAACCAGATAGGTGAGATGAGAGACATACCTAGCGCACTAGTCATCTTGTATGCATAGAACCCGGCAGTGGTAGACCTGCAGAACAGATCAGAACAATCAGTCATCAGTCA